TGGTGCTGACAACACCAAGTCAAGGGATGAGATCCCCTTACCGGTCATCTTTAAAAAAAAAAAAAAGCACATCAATATGTTCCTCAAAAGAGTGTATGTTATACAAGTTATAGATTAGAAACATATATTCTAATCAATCTGCAATAAAAATAATTTTAATGTCATTAAAATTTTGAAAAAAATTACTGTGGCTCTGTTGATGCAACTGGCTAAATTCTGATTTCTACCTATCTTTTCATAGGGTAGTTTCATAGGGTAGTTCAAATGATTTTGTTAAATAGCTCTAAATAATAAATGCATTAAGCTACAAGTAGAAATTAGGCAACTGAGTGAAAGAAACTTTGGTGGTGAGGGGCACTTAAATAGGGTAATTCCACTTAATATCAGTATAATATAAAATATTCTTATTTAATTCAATATGCTTCTTCAAATATATTCTTGCTAATTTTTAAAAATAAAACAACAATAATATTTTTGTTGTTTTTTAAATTTACTTCTTGAAAGAACTAAGGTAAGTAAGTGCTGGTAGTGAGAACAATAGAATTCTGATCTTAAGAACAGGTCTAAGCAAAATACAGAAATCTCAAATAGGTGTAGAATTAAAGTAGCATACTTGTTCAAGTAATGGAGAAAGGAGGAAGAGAAGGAGGAGTAACAGAGTGTGAGTTTAGAGGAAGAGAGTGACCAGAAACAGAGTTTCTCAGGACAGAGGACTGATGCCACTTTCACGGGTGTCAGGGGTGAGAGGTGTCTGAAGGTGACATCAGACGGAAGTGGAACTGAGCCAAGAAAGAAACACAGAACCTGCAGATAAAGACACTTCTCTACCCCTACTGTCTTCCCATTTCCATGAAAGCAGAAGTTTGCTTTATCAAAACCACCTAAACAAATGAATATATTCATATCTGAGGATGGAAACAAGGATGGCTTGTTTTCATATTATGTATTAGTGCAGTGGTTTCATGCAGCCTATTTACAGGAAATATAATATGGACCCAAGAAACTTTAGTGCTACTAAACAAAAACTGATGGTATAGAACTATTTATTTAAAAACTGGTGGTCACTTTAGTAGAGATTATATCCCCACCTAAAATTCTCCTAGACATTACAGGATCCAAAAGTATTAAATGCTTACAAGTTTGGTTTAAAATGTTATTATCCAAGTAAGCCAATCCAAATTCCATGAACGTTTACTCTTCGATATTCAGAATTAGAACAAAATAATATGATACAATGAATTAAGATATCAGCTGCAAGACATATTTGAACAGTTAACTTTCTTTAAAATATCTTCTGGCCAAAATAAATTGTAAGAGAAAATTAATGAATACTGAACAGAAACTACTGTGTTATAAAAAAGGATTACATTTTTACATCTCCCCCTAACTCCTCCAGGTGAATTTTACCTTTTTGTTTTTCCATCTACTGAAAATTAAGGACAAATTACTCATTAATCTTGAACAACATCATGCCAGGGTAAAAGAAAATAAGTTTAGGGTCTTTGGCAAAACAATTTAAGTAATAGTGTAAGATCATCTGTACTTATGTCTATATAATTTTGCATTTACCTATGTGAAATAGTGTTAATGTTTACAGGTTCAAAGTAATTACAGAAAATATGGACGTTTAAAATCCCAGATTTTTAGAAGTTGAAAAAGGAAAGTAATCCAGAAGTGATCTTGTCTTCTGAAAGACTCAGAGAGGTTGCCAAAAACAAAAAATAACTTTTTTGTAAAGTTCTTTCTTATGGATGGAAAAAGTTTAGATTTTATGACAATTATCAGACAAAGCCCCTTGCTTTAAAAACAGATATTCTGGGCCGGCTCAGTGGCGCACTGGAGAGTGCGCCGCTTGGGAGCACGGCGGCGCTCCCACCGAGGGTTCGGATCCCATGTGGAGACCGGTTCCTGCTCACTGGCTGAGCGAGGTGCGGGCGCGACACCGAGGGTTGCGATCCTGTTACCGGTCAGTAAAGAAGACAAAAAGGAAAAAAAAAAACAGACATTCTTCTCCCATGCAGACAACAATTTTATGACAGTCAACAAATAATTCATTCTTAGAACCAATCTGTTTTGCCATCCTTAAATAAGAACTATTAAGAGCTAGAATAAAAAGGGCAAAATAAACCCAAACTAAGAGAAATGCTTTTTTCTAGAATTTTTGTGTATAATCCAGAGAAATTTTAACAGAAACAATGACAAAACCAAAAACAACAAAAAGAGACAAGTATGAAAATCCACAAAGCAGAAAACAAACAGCCAAAGTGTGCTGTTTTCTTAAAACCATTTTCTGCTTACCAACTTCTGCTGCTGAGATTTCTACCCTTTTTTGTTTGTATGATTTTCCCTCCAAAGTGCCCTAAGGTAGAAGAGCACAGGCTCCTATTTACTAAAGTAACACTACACTCAACTACCTAGCTCTCTTATTTTTTCAGTGTGTCAAGAGAAGCCACAATTGGAGTGCAATTTACATAAATACAAAGTGCTTTTTAGCTCCATTGACTGTTTCAAAGAAAACTCTAAGTTAAATGTAATACACCTCTGGGGTCCTTTCCCCTTAATTCACAGTTAATGGAAACTCAAAATCTGAGTTTTAAATTAGCCCAGTTTCCTATGGAGTGTGGTATTCCTAAAATGATTTTTACTGACCCTCCCTTACCTTTTTAATTTAGAGACCAACCTAGAAAGGTACAAAAATACATACTCTATTGTCTTAAAATCCAGGGAGGAAAAAAAGTTGGCAATTTAGTTCCCTGAAACATGAAGCTGAGTAGGAAACTAACAATCTTTTTAAAGAGGGCAGGTGCAGAGCCAGCCCGGGGACCCGAGGCATGTAGCTGAAGACCAGACCCCCCCAGCCCCCACAACCAGGCACACTGCTAGCACCTCGGGGCCTGCCTGGGGACCCGACACATGGAGCCAGGGACAGTACATCCCTCCCACAACCAGGCACACCACCAGAGCCTTGGGGCCAGCCTGGGGACCCAATGCATGGATCCAGGGACTAGACCCACTCCCACAACAAGGCACATTGCCAGTGCCAAGGAGCATGCCAAAAACATCACCTCCATCTGAGTGGCCCACCACAGCCACCAGAGTAACCATGGTTGCTGCAAAAGCAGCTAGATGCCACAACCACCACGCAGATGGCCTGCCAGACACTGGAGTGCATTGACACAACGAGAGTCAACAGCAGAGACCAAAGAAAAGAACAGAATGTCTCTCTTCACAAAGCCCATTCCAGAGTGACAGAAGAAGCATCTGCTCTATGATAATATTGAGGGACCCAAATACACCTCTCAGAATTGGACAGATCATCTAGGCAACAAATCAAAGAGTAACCATTACTCTTTCAGAGGGGGAGAAGAAATCTAGGGTCATCAGAGGTGGGAGGGGGGAAAGAGGGAGGATGGGAAGAGACTGGACAAGGGGCATAAAGAATAAGTACGATTTGTAATAATACGTATACTAGTAATGTTGATTTGATCAACATATGTCAACATTGAACCCCCAAAATATGTATAATCAATTATGATTCAATAAAATTTTTTTTAAAAATGGAAAGAAAAAGAGGGCAGGTTGTTGGATAAAGATGACAGGAGAAATTATTATTTTTTTTTTGTCTTTTGTCTTTTTCCGTGTCCGGCAACGGATCGCAACCCTCAGTGTTGCCCCCGTACCGGACCGGGGACCGGCAACGGGATTGCAAACCTCGGTGTTGCCCCCGCGCCTCGCTCAGCCAGTGAGCGGGAACTGGTCTGTATGTGGGATCCGAACCCTCGGGCGGGAGCGCCGCTGCGCTTCCCAAGCGGCGCACTATCCAGTGCGCCACCGGGCCGGCCCGAGAAATTATTTTGACAGAAGGAAATAATCCATGAAAGGATTTACAGTGGGGAATAGGCAGGAGTGTGATGAGGCTATGGACTCAGAAGACTAGTGAGATTCATCCCATTAGCTGTTCTAGGCTCTGTTCAGCATAAGCCTTCTATTGTTTTGTATTTTAAAAGTTGGATCTTCCTAAAAGTGATACTTAACAGAAATAACATTTCTCCCTTGAATGCAGTATTTTATTGATGTTCGTTATCAGTTAATGTTTAATGTCAAATAATTAAGATTAAAAGGGGAACAAGTAACACCTGCTATTTGATGATGTGCTGAGAGTAGGAAACTGTCTGGCTCTGATCCACTGAGTATCCTAGTCTACTCTCACACTCACAGAGTTGTGTTGTGGCAAGCCAGCCTGTTTGCTTACTGAGTCACTTTGTTTACAGTCTTGTTACTCCTTGTCATCCTCTATGAGGCTGGGGGTTTTCCCTGACACTCCTTAAGAGTAACACATTCTATTTTAACTTAATATTCAAAATTAAAAATTAAGCTGGATATCTTTAGTCAAAGTCCTCAGTCTCATTTTACCCATTACCCTTATATTAGAAATTTTATTGCAAACAACCTGGTATAAAAGGCTTGAGATACTTTTAAGCCCTAGGAACCTATAAGTTTTTATTTAATAAATATTGAGTTTGATATGCATGTGGCACTCTACAGAAGAATCAGATACAAATAGAAATTAATAGGTTCGGGCCGGCCCGTGGCTCACTCGGTAGAGTGCGGTGCTGATAACACCAAGGCCCCAGGTTCGGATCCTATATAGGGATGGCCGGTTTGCTCACTGTCTGAGCCGTGCTGCTGATAACACCAAGCCAAGGGTTGAGATCCCCTTACCGGTCATCTTTTTTTTAAAAAAAAAAAACAAAAAAAGAAATTAATAGGTTCTAGTGTTCTATAGCACAGTAGGTTGACTACCAAAAAAAGAAATTAATAGGTTCTAGTGTTCTATAGCACAGTAGGTTGACTACAATTAACAGTAATTTATTGTATATTTCAAAATAGCTAGAAGATTTTGAATGTTCCCAACACACAAAATGATAAATGTTTGAGGTGATAGATATCCCAATTGCCCTGATTTGATCATATACACTATATACATGTATCAAAATATCACATGTACCCCATAAATATGTACAATTATTATGTATCAATTTTTAAAATTGTGGTAAAATGTACATAATAAAATTTACCATTTTAGCCATTTTTTAAAAAATCTGTTTTCCTATATTATCATTAATTATTCCACCATCCTCATAATTATCCCAGCCAAAAAATTGGAAGTTATCCTAAGACACCTCCTTCCTTAATCCCATATCTAATAAGTTTCTATATCCTTTCCATTTGTCTGAGTCTCTCTTGGCTTTGATGCTTGAGTGCCAGTTTCTTAATTTAGACGAATTCTAATCATCTATCTATTGGTTGGTCTATCTCCTGGTCTGGCTCCCTTCTATTCTTTATACTGTTTACAGTTAACTTTATTAAAATACAAATCTGATCATACTACTATAGTGCTTAAATTTCTTCCATGGCTCCACATTGCTTTCAGGAAAAAGTCTAAATTTCTTAGTACAACATGTTTGACCTTTAAACTTCTACCTGCTTTCCATCCTCATCTCCCATGACTTATCCCTCTCTGCTACTCTCTAGTCTCACTGAGCCACTTGGCATTTCCCAAGCATGTCACCTTGTCTCCTGATTGTATCTTCAAACAAATTCTTCACTCTTCCTGGAATACAGCTTTCCCATGTGCTTGGCTCCTGCTGACCCTCATCACTCAGCTCTGGCATTCTGCCCCGAGAAGGCTTGCTGAACCACTGTTATCCTACAGTGGCCTTCTGTAATTACTTAGTAGACTTTACAATATCAATAGCATTGATTTTCTTTCTAATCTCCTCTAACACCTCAAGTATTGCTGGAACGCAAGAACTGTGTCTTATTTTATGTCTGTATCCTTGATGCCTGACAAAAGTGGAGAGTGTAAATTGAATAACTGTTTGTTAGACTGAATGTGTGGTCAATATTTTATTCAGGCTCTATCAAACAAATGGAAGCACCTCTCTAACTATGATACATTGTTTCCTTTGAATCACAATATTTTGACTCACAATATTTAGGAAACATTCTCCAATTACACAAATTCCCTACTCTGATCCAGATTGATCCCTCTGCCCCAATGAGATTATTATAATTACAGTACTTATCTAAACACATTTATGATAGTTTCTTTCTGGTCTCTCATATGAAAATGTAAACTTCTGAAGGGCAGGGAATTCTGTAACTCATAAGGACTTAGTACACAATTATATGTCTCGAGGAACTTTATAAATACTAGCTGAGTCCTAAAAATGAACAGAAAAGACTGCTCAAGAAAGAGAACTGGGTTATTTACTAGAGACCAAATTAGGCTATTAAAAGAAAGTAATGTCAATGTATCATCCTTTAAAAAAACAGATATTGCATCGCAGCTCTGACATTCTTCCAAACTAACCTCAGTCTTGTTGAACACTCTCCTCCTTCTTTGGCTACCCATCCAATGTCTGCAAAAGATGCCACTGCATCCTCTCCTGGGTGGTCGGGACTCCGTTCTGTTTCATGGCTGGTAAGCTGTAAGTTACAAATAGGGAAAATTCTTCATCTGACACCAAACCATTAGAGTAAAAATTTTTACTCGCCTAAAGGAAAATCATCAGCTATAGCATTACAAATACATGGGTGGATTCTAACATTTCCACTAAAGTCTCCAGGAAAGAGATCATTAGTCATATCGTACTGTTACTTATGGTGTATGATAATCTCTGAACTATAATTTAACTTTTTAGTTTGCATTTTACAAGTTAATTTTTTAAAATCTCCTTTCATCCTAAAACATTAAGAAATATTTTTTAATCTAAGCATTAGAAACACTTTTTTATGAAGAGATTTAATAAAAAAAAGTGGGGGGAAGACGGGTATCAAAGTATAAGAACAAGAACAAGCCAGTGACCAATTTGTACTAAATCCAGGAATATTTTTAAATGACTATTATATGGCTATGTTGTTATAATGTTGAAAATGTTTATAAAAGTACCTTAAATCTCTTTAAATAAAAGGAGTAACTCAATACTCATGAACAAAGACTGGCCCATGGCTCACTTGGGAGAGTGTGGTACTGATAACACCAAGGCCACGGGTTCAGACCCCTATATAGGGATGGCCGGTGCGCTCACATGGGAGAGTGTGGTGCTTGCCGGTCATCTTTAGGGGAAAAAAAGAAAAACAAAAAAAAACTCATGAACAAAAAATACAAATAGCAATAGAACAGAATTCTCCAGCTAAACACATGGACGAAGAAAAAAATTGAAAATAAATACAACAAAGAAAAAGTATGCATATTCTGAAATTTATCTTGAAAAAAATGAAAAGATAACTTAATTGAATTAAATTTAGGTTTTGTTATGTATAAATGCCTCAGAGTCAGAAGATCAACAAATAATTTTTAATTTATCAGATTAACATAATACTTCCTAAAAGTTGGAATGAAGCTTAAAGAAAAAAGAAAAACAATTCACACTTTTTAACTGAAGAAAAAGATATGAAAGACCAAAGAGATTTACTCATTATTGTATTTATCAGAAAGGTTATACTGGGATTCATGCATTATTCATGGCTTGTTAATGCTATCATCGCCAAGTCAAACTTTTGGAAGTGACACTTAAATAATGCCTCTTCCTTAAACGCAAAACATACCATACAAACACATAATACTAACACAGTTAAAAGTTTAAAATTTTAACTGAACCTTTCAGCTATTGGTAGGTGTACTCATTCTAGTATCACAATTAAGTAACATTATCAAGTTAATAAAGTAGCATTGAAAAATGACATTTTTAACAGTAACATACTAAGAAGATCAAGTATCTAAAATGCCTTAAATTACGGCTCTTGAGGAACACAGGTGGGTACATAAGAGAAAACAAGTTCTTTTAAATGAGTAGAGATTTAAGAATCTAACCCTTGGGGAGTGGAGTGGGGGGAACCACAAAAAACCTAATAATGGAATTAAGATGAAAAGGCTTTCAAAATACTAATGTTCTCCATGTAGTGGAAATAATTTGTGGTCACAAGAGGAAAAAAGTATAAACTTCAGTAAATAAATTCTTAAGGTATATAATCAAAGGTGAATCAAAGGAATATTTTTATACTTTTCCCTATGTATTTCAGAAACTTATCCAAATAAGTCAATATCCAAAAAGATATTCAGCAAATAGGTATCTTATACCACTTAAATAACTTTACTGGGCATCACATTTGAGCATAAGAAATCTGATAATATTCTGCCCCTACCCATTACTGAAAATAGAATGGTACCTTGATATTCCTTTAACACTGTAATAAGGATATTCTAAGTGGGTTATGTGGAGATCCATTCAGTAGGAAGGTCCCCAAACCTCGTGGAAGCAACTAGAAGATATGGCATTTAATGGGCTATTTTGTACAAGTGAGAGAAATCCTAAGATTAAAACCTGAATGGTGCCTTCCTAAAGGGCTAGTTCCTGAAGATCAATCTGATCATAACCCTATGTTTAGAAAATAAAATTTTGTCCCATTAGTTACTAGTTAGTAGAAAGTTAGGTATATTTAAGAAAAAATCTAGTTTTGACTTTAAGACTTCTTACTTTTCTATAAGTTACAAAAATTGCTGTTTTCTTCCAAAATATTTATGTTTTTCTCATAACATACACTCAAAGATATAGAAGTTAACTCACTTTCAGGGAATCTTAAGTGGCAATTAAGAATCAAACATATTTCTCAATTTTACATCTGTAATACTTACATTAAACATGAAATGTTTCTTTTTGCACAAACTTTAAAAAAGTAACAAACTATTCCATGGACTTAGTTTGCAAGTTAGTTAAGAATTAATTATGCTTAGAAATAATACCATATCTATAACATGTAATTCAATGAGACAATAATGTTAGTGATACTGTCAAGATCAATTCCAAAATTGATAAGATGTGTCACTCATTTCTACTTGATATCCTGTCTCACAAAACAAAGTATTTCTGATATATAAGTAAAACTCATTCAAAAGACAAAGCTGAAAAAAAATATCTTTTTTAAAGGGCCATCTCAGGTGTTTCTGAGGGAAACATTCATCGAGTGACATAAGCATGGAATGGGAAGGAAAATTTCCAGGACAATTCACTTAGTAAAAAACAAGTCAAGGTGAAGTCAGCACTGGCAAGGGAGACTGATGGTAAGAAGTTCTTGGAAGTATGATTTAGACACCACTACTGACATGCATGGATGACAGATGAAAAGTTTGTAAAAGAAAAGGACTTACGAAAGTTCCCAGCAAGGTCCTGTCTTACTATAGCTATTGTTAGTAGGAAAGAAAAGTGAAGAGAGAGGAATTTTTTTTTTCAAAATCACATTCCATTCAGAGCAAAAATTCAGTATTACATTTGCATTTTTACTGATTTTAAGAAGTTCAATTTAACATTTGAGAAAATTTAAATTACCCAAAATTCAATTATATTTTAGGAATCTTACCAAGACAACTTTATAGTTAATATAAAGTATTCTGATGATGTAAAACTATATCAAGGAAATAGATTCATTTGATAAAATGCATACGAGTAAAAATACAAATATTGTACAAAAGTTGAAATACTTAAAATAAAAATATTAGCAAAGCTAATTTTGTCCTCACGACTTTTCATAAATAAACACGTTGTTACTGGGAACTAGGATTCTCTGCAAAGACAGGCATAACAGTAAATGAACTCAGTGTATTTTACCATTTGTTTATAGCCACATACAAAATGTGCATTCTTAAAAGCAACATAGTAAAATAATAATCTCTAGCTTTTTATCTATGTCCTATCTTTAGGATTTAATTATTTCTCTTTTTCTACCATTGTTATCACTGTAAGAAAAATTGAAAGCAGAATTTCTATATTTTAATACAGTGACATACAGTGACACCAATTGGCCAGGTGGTATACCTGTGTGAAGAAGAGCAGTCTGAGCTGCCCAGTTAATTCAGTTGGTTAGAGCATGGTGCTAGTGACACCAAGGTCAAGGGTTCAGTTCCTTGTACCAGCCAGCCAACCAAAAAAAAAAAGAAAGAAAGAAAACTAGTCTGAAAGATGGAATGCTCAATCAAGTATTCTAGCCCAGACTCAGCCATTAATGATTCTGAATAATATGGTCACTTTTTAAAAAATTTATTTTATTTTTTTAATTGACAAATAAAGTAGTATATATTTATCATGTGCAACATGTTGTCTTGCAATATGTATACTGTGGAATGGCTCAATCTAGCTGATTAACATATGCATTACATCAATACTTATTTTTTCTGGTGAAAACACTTAAAATCTACTCTACCAGCAATTTTCAAAATACACTTGGTTCTTACCACAGAGAAATAAGTGCATGAGGTGATGAATACACTAACTACCCTGATCCAATCACTATACAACATACATATGTATCAAAATATCAAACTGTACCCCATAAATATGTACAATTACAATGTATCAATTAAAATAAATTAATAAAAAAGCCAATACATTGTTATTAACCATAGTCACCATGCTGTACAACAGATCTCTTGTGTGCCACCTTTTTTAAAATTGAACATTTATTAAAAGTTTCTATATATGACAAACCTAGAATGGGGGAGGGGCAGGGAAGGGAACAGGCAAGGGAGTAGAGAGACAAGAGGGAGGAAAATGTGTGTGGAAAGGAGGAAAACAATCCTGGAGGGTAATAACAGCATCCTCAAGGAAAAACAAGTTCTTAAGAGATCAGTTACTGAGTTTGAATAAAGTGGCCACAAACATTTGTGAGTTTTGCAGTTAATCTTCAAACTACTATTCCACACTGCCTAATTTATAAAAACATAATACTCATAGCTAGATTCCGTTATACTTAAAGGGCCATTTTACAGTTAAAAATACCAAGAAATGGACATCACATCCAGTATGACCTCACTTGCTAGAATATTCCTGACTATCAAACAGTAACTGAAAAACCAGGGTTACGTCAAACAGTTATTTTATTTTATTTATTTATTTATTTTAAAGATGACCGGTAAGGGGATCACAACCCTTGGCTTGGTGTTGTCAGCACCATGCTCAGCCAGTGAGCAAACCGGCCATCCCTATATGGGATCCGAACCCATGGCCTTGGTGTTATCAGCACCACACTCTACCGAGTGAGCCACGGTCCGGCCCCAGTGATTTTAAATATTAATCTAGGTATGCATCTTTGGATGGCTCAGACATCAAAGATCACTATACCACACTACTAAGTCTCCCACCTCACTAGTTCCTGACAGACTGGCTTTCTCTTAGTTCCTTAAACAATAATGTCTATCTTGCCTTAGGACCTCTGCACATGCTATTCTCCCTGCACACAGTACTCTCCCAACCTTCATCCCTCTCCAACTCTGCAGGGATGGCTCTTTCTAATCCTTAACAGTCATTCCTTCAGAGAGGCCTTCCCTTACCACCACTGTTATTCTCCTCCCTGCTATACACTTTCCTATATGGAATTTATAACAAATTATAATTATACATTTATTAGCATATTTGCTTGTTTAGTATCTCTCCCACTGAATCATATACCCAATAAGGGCTGACATAATGCCTGTATTGTTCACCACTGAATACTAGCACCCCATAAAGCACAGATTTCAAGTTTATTTGTTAAATAAATAAAGATGGGCCATAACAAGTGGCCATGTTACTTCCAGATTTAGTCACGGCATGTGAACTTTAGTTGAACAGAACATTCCCTTCCACCACCAATTCCAACAACCACTCCTTTTAGCCCAAGAAAACAGCTTGGGGTAGGCTTACCAGAGAGAAAAGCATAGTCAGGTTAAATTATCCAGAGGTCTGTTAGTTACAGAGTTAGGATTAAAACTACTACACTACACAGCCAAATTCCCAACCCAGGTTACCCTAAAGTACCTTTTCTGGTAGTACTCAGGATCACTTTTTTTTTTTTTTTTGCCTTAAGTTGTTTTTTTTTAAGCGTAGTACTTATATCCCCAATAAGCTACGCTTACATTCCATGTTTTTCTTTAATTCACACAACTTAAAATTCATGAAAATGCACCCTAAAAATGCATTAGTGATTACTCTCTAAATTGCCAATAGGTAACATGTTGCTGCTTTAAAAAAAAAATCTTTCATTAGCAAAATACTAAAACACAACTTGTGCCTGAGGTCCTCAACCTTAGCAGCATAGGAAGCTCCTGAAGATGTTTTAAAAAACAAATGTATGAAATTCAGATTTAGTAAGTTTTATTTACTTTTTTTTTAAAATTTTTTTTGAAAACGTGACCGGCAAGGGGATCTCAACCCTTGGCTTGGTGTTGTCAGCACCACGCTCTCCCAAGTGAGCTAACCGGCCATCCCTACATAGGGATCTGAACCCGGGGCCTCGGCTGCCCCGAGTGAGCCACGGGGCAGCCCCAGATTTAGTAAGTTTTATTTACTTTTTTTTTTTAATTTTTTTTGAAAACGTGACCGGCAAGGGGATCTCAACCCTTGGCTTGGTGTTGTCAGCACCACGCTCTCCCAAGTGAGCTAACCGGCCATCCCTACATAGGGATCTGAACCCGGGGCCTCGGCTGCCCCGAGTGAGCCACGGGGCAGCCCCAGATTTAGTAAGTTTTAAATGAGCTCCCTAAAAGTGATTTTGCAAGGAGACAGGGAGGCCTGAGCAGGGGTATTTTTTTTTAAAGCTCCTGATGATTTGTGAATATACATCCAGTGTTGAGAATCACTGCAAATCCAAACCTCTGCACCCCTTTCCTCCCAATCCCCTAGAGCTAACTGCTTTTGCAAGGCCCTCCATAATCTGAATTTTCTTTTGGCATCATGAATCTAGAATAATAACTAAGAGACGAAGAAGAGCCTGTTCTTTTAGTCTGTCTTAATATGAGTTCCTATCTCCACAGGGCCATGATACCCAAATATATAAAATGCTTATGTGTAGTTGTGACTTATGGTTGAACTGCATATATGTGAAAGGTATAAAAAGGCCAGGGGAAGTCATTTTTCTTCAACTAAAGTAATCGTGAAGGGTCTAGAGATCCTGTTTTTGAGTGGAAAGTTCCCAACTCATTCCTATTGCTCACTAAATAAAATACCAATAAATCCTATGAGGTTACAAGCAGGTCTTAAATAACATAGCAAAGAAAGTGTCTCTTAAATGCTTTTTACATTTGGTACCTCATTTTATTCCCAGCACAATAGTCATTGTGCCCATTAATTGGATGAAGATGTAACTAAATGTGTTGGTCTGTGTTCTGATTTGTGACCCCAAAAATATAAAGAAATCCAATCTGTATCAGGGAGTGAAACTAGAGAACTAAATAAAATTGTTTGTTCTACAACTGCAAGGTATACAAGAACAACAGCAAAATTGTCATCACCAGCAGTACTTTTATTGTGCACTCACTATGTAGCAGTTACTACACTTGGGGGACTTTACACAGATTACCTCATCTAACACACACAACACAAAATAATGTGCCCCATCACCTATCCTTTATATAGGAGTCTTACCTGACCAATATGTCAGCTGGTACAGTGAAAAGAGGCAGTGATCTATAAAGAACATACTGAGCTTTAACACTTCAGAGGTGGAACCGTTTTGTGGGCAAAGGGTTAGAGCAGATGCCAATGATACCAAGAGAGGAATGGAAGTGAAAGTCAGTAGGAACAGAGGAAGTGAAGAAAAATGAGGCTGAGTTTCAGATGGATCCTCTAAAAGACACTGAACTCACCTGGGATAATGGAAAGACAGGTTTTGACTGCCTAATTCCTGTTTCTAAACTGACCCTGTGAATGTCCGATTCTCAGTTTAATCCATTTTGACTTTGTTTTTGTTTTTGTTTTTATTTTTCTCCTTTTTTGTCTTTTTTTACTGACCAGTAACGGGATCGCAACCCTCGGTGTCGCGCCCGTACCGGGGACCGGCAACGGGATCGCAACACGTTGCGCCTGCACCGCACTCAGCCAGTGAGCGGGAACCGGTCTCCACATGGGATCCGAACCCTCAGCGGGAGCGCCGCCGCGCTCCCAAGCGGCGCACTCTCCAGTGCACCACCAGGCCGGCCCTAATCCATTTTGACTTTTGTCTCCTGAATATGGCCTTATTATAAATGGTGTCTACTCTCCCTGGGCCCCATAGTGGTTCCCCAGTCCCAGACTTTCTATAACAGTATTTAACCATGTTGAACTCCTAGATAGCCCAGATACATTTCCATATCAATTAGCCCCCAAGTGAGCCCCCAAAATTGCAAAAGTGCATTTTCAATTTTATTACTATAAATTTCATACTTTTGAAGACTAAATTTTTTATATTTCCCAAAGGAATAAAAAATTGAAATACAAAGGAATAATGGCACATGTAAAACATCTTACTAAGTAGCAAACAAAACACTCACTTTAACATTGATGTTAAATTTAAAAGCACTGGGCCGGCCCATGGCTCACTCGGGAGAGTGCGGTGCTGATAACACCAAGGCCCCGGGTTCGGATCCCATATAGGGATGACCGGTTCGCTCACGGGCTGAGCGTGGTGCTGACAACACCAAGTCAAGGGTTAAGATCCCCTTACCGGTCATCTTTTAAAAAAAAAAAAAAAAGAAAAGAATGGTGGTACTTTAAGTACCTGAAGTAACATAAGGCCTATGTTTGAGGTCACTCAGGGCTTAACAACTGCTTAGCTTATTACATCCTTCTAAATCTTCACATATGCATTCTTAAGAGTGAAAAATGTCTTAAAGATCTTGAATAATCAGTTCATAGAAGAACTAAAATTAGAAAGACTTTACTGTGGTTTTTAATTGTCTTTTATCTGACGGACAGTGGCATCAATGGGGGAAAACAACAAAGAAAATGCTTTATGAACCATCTCGCCTAATTATACTCCTAATGTACATATTAATATCAAAATTTGAAATATATAGTCTTCAGCCATACCACCCTGAACGTGCCCGGTCTCATCTGATCTCGGAAGCTAAGCAGGGTCGGGCCTAGTTAATACTTGGATGGGAGTCTGCCTAGGAATACCGGGTGCTGTTGGCTTTAAAAAAAAAAAAAAACTTGAAATATATAAAATACAGTACCTGAAACTGAACTCTTGGACACTGAATCAGAGATAAATTAGTCCCAATTTTCCTTACAATACTTCGAGATGAACCATATGGCTTCCCAGACCAAAGTACCTGAGGAAGTAGGAAAAACCAAAAGTTTAATTGCAAGACTTATAGAACTGCTAATACAAAGCATTGGACAATTATTTGCCTGACATGCTAACACATTAATTACAGGATCAGAATACTCTAAATCTTATAGAAAATAAGCTAATATTTCTCAATTCAAAATTAAAGAATATATATAACTGGTTATTATTAATGCAATAAAGTTTAATGTAAGGTATTATATAAAAATGTAAAAGAATAGTAATTTTTAAATAATACTATATTTGGTGTAAAAACTTTATTTTCATCAGGTTTTCACACTATTCTGCAAAGGAAACACTATTTTACCTCTTCTGCTATACTTTCAGTTTTAGAATTTTAATACACATAATTTTTTTTAAACTATGAGCTACTTTTGCTATATGAGAATTTTCAAAACAAACCCAAATTAGTACAAAGTTCAAAATCTGAATTTGTAACATGCAGAGTGCTGCATGTCGTTTGCTGCACAAAAGTGCCTGGCCAAGGGTGAGTTTTTTTTAAACTATGAGCTACTTTTGCTATATGAGAATTTTCAAAACAAACGCAAATTAGTACAAAGTTCAAAATCTGCATTTGTAACATGCAGAGTGCTGCATGTCGTTTGCTGCACAAAAGTGCCTGGCCAAGGGTGAGCAGGGGATGAAATCCAGGTGCACTGCTCACCAAGCACTGCCTGTTCTTGGGATGCCTCATCCCCAGAGGAAAGGCGCCTTTTCCTAATTTGCACAAAGGTGCCAAGTGGGCTAGTGGCAGCCCTAGTGAGCAGAATTTCTCAGATGAAATCATAATACGCACAGGACATTATGCTATGCTTAAAGCAAAACCAAAAATAAACCCCCAAAGCAAAAACCAAACAAAAATCATACATGTAGAAAGTGAAATCATTACAAATTGTACCTTGAAACTTCTCCCCAAGTATATGGTCTTTCCTTAAAAAGAAAAACTATCCATTTGTTTTGAGTGCTATACTTGAAAGCCTGGACAGAAGAGGTAAAGAAAGGTATTATGCTATTAAAAGCAATTTTCAAAGAATGAGAATGATATGACTACTATACTTAATTCATCAAATTTTAACCCTCAGTTATATCCTAAAGACTAAATAAATGGTAACAAATAAGATGGGTATAGATTCTGAGCAATGGACATCATCCCTTTTTTAAGGTCACTCCAAGGCCATTCTAATTTGAAGAATAAAATTACCCTAATACAAACTATGTCGAAGCAATTGGTCATTGTAGACAGTGGCAGTTCCAACATCTAAGCCAAACTAGACCTTTAGACAATTCTTAAAGTACATACAACTTATAAATGTAGCATAGAAGCAATCTGATTTCTTAGATTTTTAGCAACCAAACCCAATTTAGGGATAACAGTATGAGTTAAAGTGAAGTTCATGAGAGTATACATGAGGTACTTCAAAAGGTTCATGGAAAGATTTGTATTATTTTTCAATTCTAACTTTCCATAGACCCACTGAAGCACCCTTGTATAATTCCCCTGGCACCTGCCTCATCTTTTACATAATTTTTATCATATATGTTCAAGGTTTCACTGATTCTTACCTAGGAGATTTCCAGAAAGTACTATGATCTATACTGGCTATGATAACCAACAAAAAAACTAATTCTGCCTTTGTAAATGTAAATAAAAAAGGATGGTACAGATTGGAAAAGTGGTCAGTAGAAAGGTAGGAGGATATCAATATTAAAATATAAATATTATACAAAGAATTTAAGAGGCAAAATTATTCTGAAACTTAGAGCAAAACATTATCCACACCAATGATCATACAAGGATTTATCACACAAGTTGTCTTATCAACATGTGAGGACTAAGAGGAGGAAAAACTTCTGACTAGAGGAAAATAGGGAGCCTCACAATTCTACAAAGTCAACATAAGAGCCCTTTCCCCCACCCCCCAAAAAGAACATAAGTAAATAATTTTAAAACAGACAATATTTTAGCAAACTTATAAAACTCATACATTTTAGTAGGTCTCAGTCATTTAAAAATAAATCCATGGGGCAATAGTAACTACACCATTCAGTCATTTCTCTTCTTGAGTCCTCTATTTAGTCACAAGTCAAAATTCTTGTGATGTAGGAGAAATAGAATGCTATTTGTGTATCACAATATGACAATTACATAGTCTAAAGTGAATCTTCCTCCCCTACAGTAAACAAACATCTTGCTTGGAGATGAAGAGGACAAAAAGCTTACAAAGAAAAACTTACAAAGGATTTGCCAAAGTCAGGAACTAATGTTTCTGCCAGCTTTTAGCAGTCCTCGATATGCATGCTGCAGGGTTAAGTTTCAACTATTATCTTTCCATCTGTTTAATATCAGAAGGAAAGAATACCACCTGCCTTCTACAAAAGAAGTGGCCAATGATTCAGCTTTTAATTATAAGGAATAAGTAGACTATTTAGGTTTCTTCTACAAAGTCAAAGGAAGGAAAAGACAGATTGCTATATGTGATTATTTTTCAAGCATACACAGTAGACTAACAATTTTCTTCTGTTACCCATAAATTGCATAGTACTCAGCACCAAGAAATATGAAGCAAGGGTCTATGTAAGCTGAAATATTTAGAAAGAAGAGCCACAACCATTATTGGATGGTAGGAAAAAGTGAGGGAAAGAGCAGCTAACTTCCAGGAACTCCAAAACTAGGTCTTAGTACTTTTCTATTTTTTTCTATTTAGCCCTCATCAAAGGGGAGAAATTGTAAATAGCTGTGAAGAAACAGTGAACAGATGGTACTGAAAAGTCACCATCTGTGTACTGGGAGGCTGTATGACCCAAGTGCATCTCCTACCCTAACTTGTGGCTGAACTGTGTCCTTGAAGTACACTGGTTTGGAGAAAGGAAGACTTCCTCTAAAGATGAACTGGCATTAATATTTTTTTCAGATATAAGAGAAGGCAGGGAAAAAACTGTCCTCTTAACTAGATAATTCACTTTCATTAAGAAATAATTAAACAGAAAAACATGCTTTTGCTTTATCTACAAAAACTGCTTATAAATAATCCAGTAATGAATTTGTGTATGTATGTGTGTGCACGTCTGTCTAGTAATGACAGTCCATAACATTTAGCAACAGTGTTTGACAGTGATGACAGTGAGGAGGGGGAAGGCAACAGGAAAGTAACTTGTTCTTTTTCAACATCATGAATTGCTATTGTAGCAGTGCTGACGTGTGAGCTGGAATCTGAAGCTTTCATCTGTCTCATCCATGATGACTGCATTCAAGCTTTATGTAGTAGTTCATTTGTTATAGACTAGTTTAATCCATATTATTGTTTGGAAGAAACTATTTAGCAGGAAAAACTATATATTAATTCTAAGTAAATATCTTTTTCTAAAAACAAACTATGTGATATTAATGGAGAAGTTCATGTATCTCTGAAATTACACACGAAATTTTGTGTGTATGTAACATTTTTCTGGGAAGAAAGTCCATACCATTAGCCAAATTTTTAAGGAGCCTAGGACCCAACAAAGTGTAAATTCTTATTTCCAAGGGAGCCAAGAAAAAATAAAAAGTGTGTGTTGGGGTGAGATGGGTTGGAGATTGGAAGATGAAACTCTATTACAATTTTCAAAATCCCTAACTGAAGATTAACACTTCCCTCAGTTTTCTTCCTTATTCTAAATTCCTAGCTACATTCACAATCCTCCTCCAAGGCACAAGAGGAAAATAAGGGTAGGTCTATATTACTAATACAATACTTAGATATTTGTGTGGCTGGCCAGTTGGTGAGAATGCAATGACACCAAGGTCAAGGGTTCAGATCCCCTACCAGCCAGCCGCGAAAAAAAAAAAAAAAAAAAATCTGCTATAACTTTTTCAAACATAAAATACCGAGATTAATCAGAATCACATTAGCTTCACACTATTCTTACTTTCTCCAGTTTAAAAACATTTCTGTTTAAGGGCATAAATATAATAATAGGTTGGGGAAAAGGTTGAACATATTTAAATATACGTTTTTTTTTTTTTTTTTTAAAGATGACCGGTAAGGGGATCTTAACCCTTGGCTTGGTGTTGTCAGCACCACGCTCACCAGTGAGCAACCGGCCATCCCTATATGGGATCCAAACCCGTGGCCTTGGTGTTCTCAGCACCACACTCTCCCGAGTGAGCCACGGGCCGGCCCTAAATATACGGTTTTAAATTCAAACAAATGTTGAGGCAAAATGGAAGGCAGTGAAGAGAAAAATTAAGCCACAGCACAACATTTTGTTGTTTATATAAAGTGGCCCAAATTATTGACCCCTCTATGCTTCCATGTTCTCATCTATAAAATGGGGACAATATCTACTTCATGCGCAGACTGAACATTAAGTGAGTTAAAATATTTATAATGTCTTTAATATGGGGCCGGCCGGGTGGCGCACTGGATAGTGCGCCGCTTGGGAAGCGCGGCGGCGCTCCCGCCCGAGGGTTCGGATCCCACATACAGACTGGTTCCCGCTCACTGGCTGAGCGAGGCGCGGGAGCAACACCGAGGGTTGCAATCCCGTTGCCGGTCCCCGGTCCGGTACGGGGGCAACACTGAGGGTTGTGATCCGTTGCCGGCCACGGAAAAAGACAAAAAGACAAAAAATAAATAAATAAATAAATAAACATTAGCAGTCTTTTCCCCTTCTATTGTAAGAGGTAGCAAAGTATACTAAAAAGAGGAAAGATTTTGAAATCAGGATTGGGTTCAGATTACAGCTCTACAATTTAGGTAATTTTGGTCAAGGCAGTTAAACACTCTGAACTGCAGTTTCTCATCTGCAAAGAGGGTTGTTCTACTGAACACACACAATCGGTGTAAAAGCAGTGGGCACAGTAACCACCAGCATAGTGAGCTAATCAGGGGTGGCTCTTACAGTGGTGCTGATGTGTACAGTAAAACATAAAGAGCTGATCATCACTGGCTGTACTAATGGCAAAAATAAAACAAAACCCAAATCTAAAAGCTTGTACCTATTTTTTAAACAACAACAACAACAAAAGTAGGTAAAGGCTAAAGGCAGTTTCTGCTCTTGAAAAGTTTTCAGGCACAGTATCAAATTCATTTATGTCAAATCAGCAAGAAAATACATGTTAATCATTGAAAGGTGGAACTAAGAAAGGTTTTATTATCTTTAGATGCCCAAATCCTGGTAGACTACACCTTTAATGTTTGTCGTAGGCAGCAGAATAAAATACCTTGGAAATTTAAAAAGAAAATAACTCCAAAAGATCAAATTACTTTATTTTAGAAGAAAACTTTATTTTATACAGATTTTCAACTAACTGATTAAAACTGATTGTATGTTAGCTTCAATACATTTAAAAAAAAATGAACTTTCTCATAAGCTATTAGTAGAAAGGGCCTTCATTTGTGATTATAATATTTTGAGCAAATTAATCCTCTCTTAGCTTGTCCATTCTCTGATGAAAGGCACCCATTTTACAGCTTAAAATGAACAAAGCCAAATAAGTGAATAAGCTAAATAAAGTGTACTATCTGTACCTGAAACAGAATTCTATACTTTGGCCTCAATTAGCACTAGTCTCATTAGCCTGACCTGGGGTAGGGACGGGGGGGATAGCAAAAACATAGGAATCCAATATTATTGAATGTACATACACTATATAAAAGCCACTGTGCTTGTATATATGCTTTACAGATATTGTCATTTAATCCATAGTCTAACTCAGCAATAGCAGTTCTTCTTTCCCTAGTTTGCAGATGAAGAGAATTAACTGGGAGGGACAAATTTCAGATCCAGGTTTGTTAAAATCCAGGACTGATAATCTTGCCACTAAACCATACTTTTTACTAAAATTACAAATAAGTAGAAATCGTAAAGCTTCACTTTTTGGGAATCATAAATAACAAAAGCTTCCTTTCTTTCTGGAAGCAAAAGAAAAAGAAATTCCTTTGTTGTCAATACTAAAATGTTAATCTATCCTATGTAGCCAAATGGTGGTAGGTAACAAATGAGAAAGGTGGTATAGCTAGCCGCTCTACAAGAAGTTCAAAACGTAGGAACATGTATCTGAAAAAGATGGTATTACCGATAACTTCATAAGTCTTCACGTTGTTGTTGTTGTTGTCTGGTAAAGGTGTTGAACCCCGGACCTTGGGGTTATCAGCACCACACTCTAATCAACTGAACTAACTGGCCATGTAAGTCATTTTTCTACTGCTTATCCTCAAGGTAATAATCTCAAAATTATGCACCTGTAAACAGCTGTAAGCAGAGTTAATTTTATTGGGTTCTCTGCTTTTTATATCCAAAGAAAATAGATGTCACCTTGGGAGTTGGGGAGGTTCAAAGTTCAGACACAAAATAAAAACAAAAAAGTAAAAGTAGTGCATTAAAAAGTATACCCACATTCATATTATATATCCTGCCTATATCTGTAATAAGTAAAACTTAATTCCATGTCTTCAACACCAAAACATTAAATTTGAAAATAAAAAACAAATATTTTACAAAATGTGTGTGGCACAACGATTGATCTCATAACTTTACGGTGGATCTGAACAAAATTTATAAAAATGTCAAGATAAAAACTACCATCTCCTGCATAGAACAATCATACTATACTAATTTTTTTCTTCCTGTCTATAGTTATATTTTAAGACATGACTTATCTTTTACTTTAAACAATTGTGTAATTAACACACCACATTACAACACCATTCAATATATATATATATTTTTTAAAATGGCCCAACACCATTCAATATTAATAAATCTACAACAGAGTTGTCAAGTGTTACATTTTATTCAATGATTTCTCTATATATTTAAGCCTTTTCCTCACTAATAACAAACACATTGCTTTTTTTTTTTTTTTTTTTAAATAAAAGATGACCAGTAAGGGGATCTTAACCCTTGACTTGGTGTTGTCAGCACCACGCTCACCCAGTGAGCAAACCGGCCATCCCTATATGGGATCCGAACCCGCGGCCTTGGTGTTATCAGCACCGCACTCTCCCGAGTGAGCCACGGGCCGGCCCAAACACATTGCTTTTAATGGTAACATGAATATCAGTAAGTTTTCAATATGACCCAGAAAGTTATTACCTTACTTAGGATGCTGGGAAGATTCACTTCTATGATTTAAATAGTAAGCAAATTAAATAGTACATAAAAATATTAAATTCAAAATGTTGGTCACACAAAGATTTATTTTGTTTTCTCTGAAAAATTCTTAAAATATCTAAATATCTGGATTTTTAAAATAAAGTTTGAACACTCACCGATTGCATGCTTACTCCAGCTTGTTGAAAAACCATCCTAATTAGGCGCTTAATCCAGCCAAGCATTTAGATGGCAAAGTCTCCCCAAATTTGCATTTCAAGTACTTCAAGGATATATAGCAGCACATGGTCCATAAAGCACACTAAAAATTAAAAATGCAAATATGAAAATGAAATAATTATTATTTAGAATCTCTACTGTCTATAACATGGCTCACAAAGTAAGCCTAAAGCATTTAAAAACTTTTTGTGTGAATTAAGAGAAAACAAAATTTGCTTGTGATCAGCGTGCTTAAAGTAACCGTAATAGCACAATATTTTTTTTAAGCATATTTTTTCAGTCAGAGTTTTTAGTTGGAAGCAATAAAAACCTACTGTGGCTAATTTAAGTAGAAAATACATTTAAGAAAAAATACCTAGTAGATAACAATCTTCACAGAACCTGACTCATAGGCTACACAGCCAGGAAAAGATGTCCAAAACTGTAGCAGAATTGGTACTGAAAAGACACAACTGCAACTGCTACAGCTACCACCGACAGAACAGTCCATGCAATCAGTTCCTGAGTTGCCATCAGTTCCTGAGTTGCTGTCCATACTGACTGATGCATGTGCTTGGCCACATCTAAAGCTCATGTACTAGCAAAAGAGAGGCTGGAAAAGCAAGTACCTGACTATAGTAACAAGCAGGTTTTGCTTCGCACCAAAAATCATAAAGAAAAGAATTCCAGAAACACAGAACAATTCAGATGCTAGAAGGTCAAAAATAATGACAAAAGTCCTTTTACACTCACCGGCACCATCACCCCCGCCATTCACTGCCACCCCCCACCCCATCAATACATTGTATACCTGATAAAATTAAAATGTTAACTTGTACAGTACCAACGAGTTCACTGAAAGTACTGGTCTCCAACAAGACAAAAAGTTAGCACCACAATATAAATCAATATACTGCTTCCTCATTAAGAAAATCTTGCTTGAAAAACAAAAAAACAAAAAACCAGCTAAACAAATAGTATGCTTCGAGATATAGTTGATTTACATTTTTATATAAATTCCTTTTCTCATCATGAACCCAAAGCAGTCTGCACTCTGAGAACTTTATAGATAAAAGTACAGAGAATAGGGAGAAAAAAGTAAAGGTGCCACAAATATGACAGACACTGGGTGACAATGAAGTGAAAAGAGCTGAGCCCTAAAGACAGAAGATGGAAAGGAGGATGAGCATTACAGGTAAAAACGAACATCAATGGGGGAAGGCCATGAAGACTGGAATGAATATAGGATGTGAGTTTATATGAGAATCTGATCTAAATGCTTATACTGGGAAAAAAGAAACAAAGATCAGATTAAACAAACGTTGAAACTAGCCAGAAAAGTTTGACTCAATGTGGTAGGCCAGTCATGTCTGCTAAATTCACCAAAGCTCAAATTAAAAATTATTTTTATCCTTTGAAAAACTACTGCAAAAAACAGTACATAGGTTTTAATGTGCTCTATACCAAATTTCAACAAATTGGAAATTTCTAACCTACTATGTTTCACAGATTGCTTTTATAAGTAAATGATATGTATTTGAATTAATGAAGTAATGCTTTTAGTCTCCTTTATTTGTGTTCCAAACATGAGCCGCTAGCTAAAAATGTCCAGAAACCTCTAAACCACACAGCAATAACAAGAGCTAACATCACTGAACATTTACTATGTGCCAGGGTACTAAGAGGAACATTTTTATGCTTATTAAGTCATTATTCATAAAACCTCAATTAATTATCAGAAACCAACATATGAAGGTGGATATCAAATTATCTTCCACTTGCAGAGGGGCAAATCTTAGTTAATATAAATTGATTAAGGATCACACGCTTGTAAGTGGCAAAGTTAGGACTCAAACTGGATGTTTAGATAAAAGTCTGTGCTTTTATCCACTATACCATGCTACTCGCAAAAAGAAACCTATAGTTTGGGGAACCTATCAGAAATTTTCTGAGTTTTCTATTTTTATTTTTTCTTTACTGTAATCCTACTCAACTTTCAGTATGTTTATATTCTCAAACTAATGTCATAAAATAGTGAAGTGGTAAAGCTCTTGACTTGAAAATTTTTTCTTTACTGTAATCCTACTCAACTTTCAATATGTTTATATTCTCAAACTAATGTCATAAAATAGTGAAGTGGTAAAGCTCTTGACTTGAAATTGTACCCTTGCTGTGCCACCTACCAATTGGTCACTACGAACAAGTTAGAGTTATCCATAGGTATCCACAAGGGATTGCTTCTAGGACCCCTGCAGATAACAAAATCCTGGATGCTCAAGTCCCTGATACAAAATGGCATAGTATTTGCATATAATCTACATACATCCTCCCATATACTTTAAATAATCTCTAGATTACTTATAATACCCAATTCAATGTAAAGGCTATGTAAATAGTTTTACCTTGTATCGTTTAGGGAATAATGACAAGAAAATAGTCTGTACATGTTAAATACAGATGCAAACATTCATTTTTTTAAAAATATTTTTAATCCACAGTTGGTTGAATCTGTAGTTAGCTGGATCTGCAGATGTGGAACCCATGGATACAAAGGGCCAACTGTAATTACTTTCAGAGAGTAACAGTAACTCACAGAGTTATGAGAATTTATAGACATAATGCAGAAGACATTTTAATAAAAATACTAAAAAAATAGGTTGCTGTTATCAGGGATGGAAAAGAAGAGATGGATTCAGGATACCAATAAAAATATGAATAAACTAGACTTGGGGAAGAGGTTGGCTACAGGAACAAAGAAGCGGGGAAAAATCAAATGACTCCAAGGTTGCCAGCAGAGATGCTGGAAATTATGGCCGACAGATGAGGAAATATTGGAGAGTAAAGAATGAAGATGAGCCTAAGATGATAGAAGTATATCTAGATGAAATCAGGGAGTATGTTTTAGTCTGTTTTGTGTTGCTATGACAGAAATACCTGAGACTGGGTAATTTATAAAGGAAAGAGGTTTATTTGGCTTACAATTCTAGGACAGCTGCATGGGGCATGGGCCTCAGGCTGCCTCTACTCATGGCAGAAAAACAGCAGGCAGCCAGCGGATACAAGCAGATCACATTGCAAAAGGAAGCAAGAGAGAGGAAGCAAGAGAGAGAGAAGGTGCCAGGGTCTTTTTAAGCAACAAGCTCTCATGGGAACTAATATTAGAGTGAGTTCTACTCATGGCAGAAAAACAGCAGGCAGCCAGCGGATACAAGCAGATCACATTGCAAAAGGAAGCAAGAGAGAGAGGAAGCAAGAGAGAGAGAAGGTGCCAGGGTCTTTTTAAGCAACAAGCTCTCATGGGAACTAATATTAGAGTGAGAACTCACTCATTAATCCCCCTTCCCCCAGGGAGAGCATTACTCCATTCACGAGGGACCCGCCCCCATGACTCAATCAGTTTCCAACACTGCCACACTGGAGGTCAAATTTCCACATGAGTTTTGGAGGGGACAACACATCCAAACTCCATCAGACTGTTAAGCACTGGCAGGAAGATATACTTATTACTATGAAATGTCCGTGATGAGATCTTTGTTCAGACAGATATATTTTAATGTTACCAAGTTCTACTATCAGTTGTATGAATTAATCCTTACTCTGAGAATAAATGGAAATAAAAAGAGCAAAGGGCTAAAAATAATGTCAAAGCTGAAAATGGCAAAAAACTGAGCAGGTAGAAAGAATAGTTTTATGTGAGATAAGAAAAACCTACCACTTTTTAAAATTGAGATATAGCATGTAGAAAAGCACACAAATTTTAAATGTCTAGCTTGAATTCTTATACATGTATATACCTGTGTAACCACCACCCATATGTGAAGTACAATTTCTTTTTTTTTTTTTTGGTCCTTTTTGAGACTGGTCGCACCACGCTCAGCCAGTGAGCGCTGTGAGCGCACCGGTCATCCCTATATAGGATCCGAACCCGCAGCTGCCGTGCTCCCAGCGCCACACTCTCCCGAGTGCGCCACGGGCTCGGCCCTACAATTTCAATTTAGCATAACAAAACCAAAAATCCTCAACCTTTTCATATGTAGAAAGATAGACATCAATCTATTAAAACTGGCCTGAATGGGTAGAAGCAAACTTTTTTCTTATATAGTTTGTACTGTTAACCAATGCTACCAAGCATGTTTTACTTTGCATTTAAAAACAAAATCTAAAAGTTAAAAAAAAAAATCTCACCTTCGAGCTTTCACTCAGATACTCCTGTGATACTATTCAACCACACTGAGACCTTTAGTCTCTTCTCCCCTGCAATTTTCATCTATCTAACTAGACTCTTCCCACCTTCACTTTCTTCTACCCCATCCAGTCCAAAATCACTGCTATGCCAACATAGTCAACTCTTTGTTCTACTGTCTTGTTTATCCTATAAGCCAGAACTTGATGAATCCAACAGCCTATAGTTCCTAAAATTGGGCTATGGAAAAATTACTAAACTCTACATTTTGATGTTGCTACAAATGTACTATCTCCAATCTCAGCTGGGCCCTCACTGCTGCCTGGAATTCTAGGAAAATCTTATTCCTACTCTTCCCCTCTTGCGTTCTCCAGAACAGGTATTTAGAATTTTCTCCATGCTACCCAAATCTACCCAAGCCCTCCCCCATCATTTCTCAGCAGATGATCAAGCATACATTTCAAATAATAGAGAAGTCATCCGACAAGAAATCCCTCAACGTCCTGCTACTCCACATGCCACACACTTATCTGCATCTGCGCCTATTCTGTCCCCCAGTCTCTCCTGTCCCTCCTCCCAACTAGCTGTTCAGGATTCCACTCTCTCACTTCACAGGTCTCACAACATCAGAGATAACCTGCATTACAAAAATTCTATTCTCCACTGTTAACTTCAATCACTCGCCATCTTCTCATTTCTCCATCTGCATTTAAACCAAAGAAATCCAAAATTGAACTCCTTAACGTTCCTCCCAAATCTGTTGCTCATGCATTCTCTACCTCAAAATGACATTCATATATTTTTAGTTATTCCTCCTTTCTCTTTCATTTTCTCCAATCAATTGGGGAGTATTTTTTCTCCTAAATATATCAGATTCCATCTCCACTATCCTTACACTACTATTTTAAGCCTTCACTATT